GAAAAATGACAAACAACAAGCCCTACTCTACACTGCCCAAAAAACTCGCTTTAAATATATAAAATATAAAAACTCTTTAAATATAAAAAACGTACTTACAGTCTTTGAGTCAGAACAGCCGGCATTGTAGTCTAACGTTACTCTCCCAGGATCAGGAAACAGTCCTCCATCCACAGTGAAATCTTCATCACATAGCGACGTAGATATGTGGGGACGTGTTAGAACGAGCCGTTTTAGGTAGGCGTGGCTGACTCTTAACTTTTATAAAGAATATCTCTTTGGATTTCAGACTTTAGTCTTTGCAACTTTACAGATCTTCTTTATGCACCAAGAGCTTGTAACACTCCAAAGAGAAAGGAAAATTTGAAATCGTATCATATGACCCCTTTAATATATATTTTTGCTTTAATTGCAGAGTGGTTTTCCATATACTTGGCCATGTAGTGTATGCTTATTATATTGGGATAGGTAATTTAAAAACCTCTATTGATTTACCACTTTTAGTTGGTCAGGACATTGTGGCACTGTTTAATATTTTAGGCGAAGTTAAATTTTATTTTGTTTTTTCACATTTATTTCCATCAGGAAGTGCATGCGATGGGTCACAAGTTCCAGAACCCAGTTGTGTTAGCAGCAGGCTTTGACAAGCACGGCGAGTCAGTGGATGGCCTCTATAGACTGGGTTTTGGTTTTGTGGAGGTGGGAACTGCAACAACAAAGGCATAGGATGGAAACCCAAACCACGTGTCTTTAAACTGGAGTCAGACTAAGCCATCATTAACAGGTATAGCTACATTTTCGCTGCAAAGACAGACTTACCATGGTATGTCTCCAAGCTCTCAGAATATAATTTTGATGGCTATTTTGACCCTTTAAAGCAGTATTTTGCAGCCTTTGTCTTTGGTACCTTTGGGTTGTCTTTAGCCACCTCAGTAAAGCCACTTTAGTAAGGTTCACATTCCTCTTCATCTGGTGCTGCACATACAGTATTTAGCATAAATGAGTACACCCCCTCTGAATGAATCAATTATTATTTACTTAAAGACATATTAGGATTATTTGGAGATGTAATTTTCAAGCAAGTCTGCTTGATCAGTTACCAAAAAGCATTTCAGAATTATTCAGGAAAATAAGATTTTCTTATCAAAGTGATAATAAGTACACCCTCCTGAAAGTTAAGTAATAAAACTAATACATTCTTTTTTTATTTTGTATAATATTACTTCTTTATTTAAGATGCAAATAATATATTGCAAGTTAAAGGCAGTTTTTGACCACGAGATAAGTATGTTGAACCAAAACATTTAAAGAGGAGTAATTTCTTGGCAATTAAAGGTGTTACATAGCCCACTGAATCATTCTCAGATTTAATGCTGACAACAATGGAACCAGTTTAGAGAGAACTGTTAGGATACTTATTTCTTTGGAGAAAAGTAACACAGAAATAAAAAAAATGGACTTGTGACAAGGTCCTTGAAATAAATCAGACCTTCATTTTAAGCTTTAATTTCATGGAGTGATTTTGATAAGAATAGAGAAGGAGAAATACCAATCAAGTATCAGAGCCAACAAAAGCTATGAAAAGAGCGATTTGTTTCATGTTAAACATTAAGATGCAGAAGTATAAAATACATGGTTGTTGTTCACACTGGAACTACCTACTGTAGCCAAAGCACAATAACCTCAATTGGTCTTTTTCAAGGCCCATATTTACAAAATTCTGGGAATCCTTACTATACCAAGTGAATCATTTTGGATCTAACAGCACTTGTGGAGTGCAGTGAGAAGTGCCTGGTTCTCACAATGAAGTTCGGTGGTAGTAAAGCACTTACAAAAGTTTGTATGAGTGCTGATGGTGTAAGAGAGTTTTGCTTTACCGATGCTGTCATGAATTCACACACCACTGTGTGATGTAATTCAAAAACTTCTCACTTCTCATTCCCTGCATAGCTGGGCTTTTTTTTTTTCAGCATGACAATGACTATATACATTCTCCAAAGGTGAAAAAGTGTGGACAAGTACACTACCAGTCAAAAGTTTTTGAGCAGTAAGATTTGTAATGTGTTTTAAAGAATTCTCTTCTGCTCACCAAGCCTGCATTTATTTGATCCAAAATACAGCAAAAGCAGTAATATTGTGAAATATTTTTACTGTATAAAATAACTGCTTTCTATTTGAATATATTTTAAAATGTAATTTATTCTTGTGATTTAAAAGCTGATTTTTTTAGCATCATTACTCCAGTCTTCAGTGTCACATGATCTATCAGAAATCATTCTAATATTCTGATTTGCTACTCAAAAAACATTTATTATTATTACTAATAATATTTTAAAAAATAATAATTGTCAGGATTCTTTGATGAATAAAAAGATCCAAAGAACAGCATTTATCTGAAATAAAAAGCTTTTGTAACATTATACACTATACCTTGGAGCTTGGAGTCAGATTTTTTTTTAATTATAAAAATTAATACTTTTATTTAGCAAGGATGCTTTAAATTGATCAAAAGTGATGATAAAGACATTTATAATGTTACAAAATATTTCTATTTCAGATAAATGCTGTTCTTCTGAACTTTCTATTCATCAAAGAACCTGAAGAAATTCTACTCAGCTGTTTTCAACATAATAAAAATAATAAAATGTTTTTTGAGCAGCAAATCAGAATATTAGAATGATTTCTGATAGATCATGTGACACTGAAGACTGGAGTAATTATGCTAAAAAAATCAGCTTTGAAATCACAAGAATTTGGAGAATGTATATAGTCATTGTCAGGCTGAAAAAATGGCCAACTACGCAGGGAACGAGAAGCAATTCAATTCAAAAGTTTTTGAATTACATTACATTACACAGTGGTGTGTGAATTCATGACAGCATTGGTAAAGCAAAACTCCCTCACACCATCAGCACTCATACAACTCATAAAACTTTTGACTGGTAGTGTATTTCACCCAACTCTTGAGCACCTGCGGGGGATTTTGTAGAGGCAGTTGAGCAACATTCCCCATTAAAGACCAGGGCATTTAAGGAAGTCCTCCTCCAGGAGTTAAACAGGACAGATGTGACAATTTGTCGGGAACTTGTACACTCAATGCCAGGAAGGGTCAGAGTAGAATACTCTCTACGCTGCTATATATACTTTATACTAGTATAAAGTTATGAAGGCCTAAGTGCTAGAATATGGCACGTTTGTTGAATTTTATCTAGGGTGTACTGCTTTCTTTGACCCTTTGTTTAAACAAATATTGGTTAATTTACTTAATTTTCATATATTAATGACATTTTCTCTGTTTTTATTAAGTATATGATTAATACATTTCAATTTTGCCATCTTTTATTGAATTGTCTTTGGGATCATTAAGAAAAAAAGATGGGTGTTCAGAGGGGTGTATGCATTTATGCCAAGTACTGTACTATATTCTAATATTAGTATAATCCATGATTTATAGAATAAATTATAGAACCTAACACAGCACTCTTTTCTTTTCTTTTCTTTCCTTTCTTTTCTTTTCTAAGGAACTAAACATTTTAACTATTAAAAGTTGGTAAAAGATTGCACAATTTTGAGTTAGATGGTAGTAGCATCTCTCAGTCACACAGTGTTTCTTTTCACCATGGAGAATATGCAAATGAGGTGCAGACGAGCCAGCTTCTCCTGAAGGAGGCTTCCAGTTTAGCATTCAGTCATGCACTTTGCTTCAGTATAGCTTTAGTATAGTTGTTATCTGTCCAATGATTACAGTTACAGTTTTTGTTTTTAAAATATTTGTTAAACTTCTGAAAAACCACTACACATTACCCGTGATACATGCTTTTTGTTTATACTCAGTGAAAGTGAATTTTGTTCCAAATGGAAAATATTTGAATAAGTATATTGTTTTTTCCATGAATCTGCTTGGACTTAATCCGAATTTCTGGCTGGACAAGGTTTTCTATTTTATAAGTGAATAACAAAAAGAATGTTTTTGGTCTGTTGAATTTGCTGACGTAACATTAAACAATAAAAATATAATTGATATCAGTCGCACACCAATATCGTCAGCCAGTGTTGTGTACACGTTCTTCACAGGCAGTCAAACAAGGGTGGAGTCCCTCCGGATACAGTAAATTAGTGGCGTTTGTCCATGTTGCAGGTTTTGAATGCCAAATCCTGCTCGCCATTTGAAAGTTGAAGTTTGGACTTTCTCTTTCAAAATGCTTTTGATTTGAACAAACCTCTAACATACATATGAAACTGTAGCATCACTACAGTTTATGCTACGGACATGAATGATGGTTTCAGTTGTGTTAATTTTATAATCAATTGTAAAAAGACCCATAGACTTAAACTGATGGAGGGATCAATAAGCAACCACCTAGAAAACTTTGGTAACCATCCAGAAAACCTTAGTGACTCTTCAGAAAATGGGGGGTGAGGGTCAGTTCACTTACCTGATATTTAATAGCTGATACATAAATATTGTAGTAGTGCCATGGTACAATAAAGTTGTCAGATGGAAATGCAATGGTTTCGTCATGATTATCAGACCGAAGTATAATGGTATTTACATGATACTGCAATGAATTCCATCTGCCATTCCGGTGTGTCCACAAACCATGGTAATACCATGGTACTTCTTTTCTAAATGTCAAATACTTTTGTATAGTGTAAATATTTGACTAATAATTTATATGTTAAGTATGTGCAATCAGAACTAACAAAAGGTAAATAATATACACAAAACTTCCTATTTTTAGTCACATTTACCATGAAGGCAGCAGGTTTATGTGGGGAACTGGGGATAAGTTTCCATTTTTTATTTTTTCTCAAGACTGTGAACATATCTTTACATAACATAATTTCCCTTAATGCCTTGGAAATAAGACATTTAGTGCTTTTTCCTACTTATTTGAATACGTCTGTTCAGCTGTGCCAGGAAAAGTCCCACTGCCCTCTAACAGTATAAATTTCCAATATCAGCAGGTAAACCTCTTGGTATCAATCTTGGGAAGAACATGTATTCTACAGATGCGGTGTCAGATTATGAGGAGGGAGTGCGGACACTGGGCCCTCTCGCTGACTACCTAGTAGTGAATGTTAGCAGCCCTGGCCTTAGAGACCTACAGGGCAAGGAAGAACTGCGCCACCTTCTGGACAAGGTAGTTCATTATTCCAGTGTTGAAGGCATATTTTAATTGGCATGGGCAATACCACACTTTTTAAAATTTTATACAGATACAATACCGATACTTTTTGATACAATTTTAACGACACCTTACCAATACTGATTATTTCTTAAATGGGTATGTGAAATTTCAAAATAAAGTTAACATTAATAACAAATGTAGCACAAAAGCAAATATGGGCACAATTAAATAAAAAAATCTCAACCAATAGGTGTAAAAATACTATTGTATTTTACAGAAATGTTGTGATTAAATAATAGTGAAATAATATATTTTAATATAAATATGAATCGAATAAACTAGAATAACATGTATCATATATCATTGCATCTTGCTTTATATTTTTCTACAAGTGAAAAGTAGCACCTCACCAAACTACGTTTACTTTCTGCCATTCTGTCCATCTCTCTCAGTATAATGTTTACATACATGTGACATAATGATAATAATCTCTTTCTGTTCGTACATTATATCATGATGGTATATGAAATCATCTGCTATAATATAATGAAAACTTTTCGCTTGAAACTAATTTTATTTTGTGAAAATTAGGGCTGGGTTTTGACACAAATTTCATTATTCAATTCGATTCTCATTCACAAGCTTTCGATTCGATTCGATTACCGATTCGATTCGATTCGATTCAATATCGATTATTTTGGATATAGGCTATATCAGGTACAGTACATGCCAAATTTTCTCAAGGAACAAAATCTCTCAACTAATGCTGTAAAATATACATGAGAGTCAGCTCATTACTGAAGGTTAAAATTTACTAATTTGTTAAAATTACACTTAATGAAGTTTTTAAAATAATAAAGTTACAATTACGTAATAATATTTCTACTTCAATTAGTTTTTTTTTTAAATATAAACATAAAGGGGCCTGTCATAAAAACTTGATGGATTTATTCAAACATAAATTAAACATTGAAGAACAGTAAAAAATTATAATGAATATGTTATAAAATGCCCCTATCTACAGTTTATTTTTCTATCTGACTAATGAGTTTATAGTCACCGAATATGTTTTTTTCTGAGGTAAATGTGCCATTACCTGACATTGTTTACAAGCCGTTATTGACGTCTTTGCGCAGCTGAAACACTGATTGAGCGATAACATGAGACAGGATACGGCTTGTAAAATTGTACTCTTTCTTTTAACTTACCTTCGGATATTTATTTTGTGCTGAAACTGGTATTAATGTGGAGGAGATGATCAGTTCACGTGCGCTATGCGCTGCCACATCTGTTGAACTGAGGCGCTATAGCGCGCGATCTATCACTCCACATTAAACAGCGCTAAAACGGCATTTATTGTTTGAATACAGCAATACAATGGACAGAATTTGAAATCTGAGACTTTGTTTCATATTAAAAGTACCAAAGCACAATGCTTATTGCGATATATTGGTTGGGAAGTGCCCTTCAACATTCCGTCCATTAACTGAAAACAGGCTAGACTAATCGATTCTTAGGATGTAAGAATTGATATCGTTCCGTAAAAATGATAATCGATTAATATTGAGATATCGATATTTTTGACCCAGGCCTAGTGAAAATACATGGCTACTTCTGAATGGCCATCAATGAAGAAAGATGCCAATAATCCGGGCTGTCCTTGGGGGTGCAACTGGTGCGGTTGCACCGGACCCCGCGGCGAATGGACCGAGGGCCAACCACCACAACCCCCCACCCCCGGAACGCGATAACGCGATCGCCGAGGGGGGCCCCACTACCTTGCACCGGGCCCCGCGTCAGCTAAGGACGGCCCTGCCAATAATGATGGGATGATGGGTTAACCATAGTTCCCTTCACCAGGGACTACTGGTCAGCCTCTGGCAAGGTTACCACATGCAGATTTGGTGAGATGGTCCCTCCAGTGTTTTGAAAGAAGATGGGGAAGGCTTGCACCACTTACACTACAGCTTATTTTAAGATAGAACGACAAGCATAGACAGATGGAATGGGGTGGAATTACATAAGTGCAAGTTGGCCATGTTTTCCCTTCCATGGGATCTTCTGGCGATCTGAGAAAAGTTCCATCCATTATGTATGACTTGATTATTCTGCTGAAATAAAATATTAAGTTAAGGCTGTGAATCTCAATGACAAATCATCCATCAGCACAGATATGATAGGGGTGGGAAAATGCATTCAACATGGAAAAAATGAAAATTCAATGCATTCTTGGAATTTAATAATCACTATCAAATTTTTCCATTTTCTAAATAAAATGTGTTGGTTGATTCGTGCTTGCCTGATTAGAAGTCGCCACTACAATACTAAGGTCTAATGCTGTAAAATATACATGAGAGTCAGCTCATTACTGAAGGTTAAAATTTACTAATTTGTTAAAATTACACTTAATGAAGTTTTTAAAATAATAAAGTTACAATTACGTAATAATATTTCTACTTCAATTAGTTTTTTTATTAAATATAAACATAAAGGGCCTGTCATAAAAACTTGATGGATTTATTCAAACATAAATTAAACATTGAAGAACAGTAAAAAATTATAATGAATATGTTATAAAATGCCCCTATCTACAGTTTATTTTTCTATCTGACTAATGAGTTTATAGTCACCGAATATGTTTTTTTCTGAGGTAAATGTGCCATTACCTGACATTGTTTACAAGCCGTTATTGACGTCTTTGCGCAGCTGAAACACTGATTGAGCGATAACATGAGACAGGATACGGCTTGTAAAATTGTACTCTTTCTTTTAACTTACCTTCGGATATTTATTTTGTGCTGAAACTGGTATTAATGTGGAGGAGATGATCAGTTCACGTGCGCTATGCGCTGCCACATCTGTTGAACTGAGGCGCTATAGCGCGCGATCTATCACTCCACATTAAACAGCGCTAAAACGGCATTTATTGTTTGAATACAGCAATACAATGGACAGAATTTGAAATCTGAGACTTTGTTTCATATTAAAAGTACCAAAGCACAATGCTTATTGCGATATATTGGTTGGGAAGTGCCCTTCAACATTCCGTCCATTAACTGAAAACAGGCTAGACTAATCGATTCTTAGGATGTAAGAATTGATATCGTTCCGTAAAAATGATAATCGATTAATATTGAGATATCGATATTTTTGACCCAGGCCTAGTGAAAATACATGGCTACTTCTGAATGGCCATCAATGAAGAAAGATGCCAATAATCCGGGCTGTCCTTGGGGGTGCAACTGGTGCGGTTGCACCGGACCCCGCGGCGAATGGACCGAGGGCCAACCACCACAACCCCCCACCCCCGGAACGCGATCGCGAACAGACCGAGGGGGGCCCCACTACCTTGCACCGGGCCCCGCGTCAGCTAAGGACGGCCCTGCCAATAATGATGGGTATCTGTGAAAGCTAACCAGCCAAACCTTGGCATGGTCTCAAAGTTTATAGAACATGAAGTCATAGCAGTAACAAAGTAAAAAAAGAAGTGTTATTAAAAGGAATTGCTGTTTAAAGTGTTTAATACATTTATATACTGCATGAAAAACATGAAATAGGGGGTCTCAGTGGTCAGCCTCTGAAAGAGCTGTCCACTCAAACAGTACGAGAGATGTACACGTTGAAGCAAGGTATGCTTAAATGTTAAAAGGCCAAAGCCTTGTTTTTATTTTTACACATTTCATTTGTATTTGGTATTTGGACTGATCGATTGAAATATACAAAGTGAATTTGGTTTATAAGGAAATAAGCTTTTGTGTGAGTTTGTAGGGAAGTTACCCATTGTTGGAGTTAGTGGAGTGGCCAGCGGACAGGATACCCTAGATAAGATTCGTGCAGGAGCCTCTCTGGTGCAGCTCTACACGGCTCTAGTATACCAGGGTCCGCCTGTAGTCAACAAGATCAAAAGTGAACTAGATGATGCTTTAAAGTGAGTATACCAATGTTTTTCCTAGGTATTAAGAAACATAAAGGTATTAAACACATTTGTTCCTGTTTTGTTTCCTTTTTTAGGGCACAAGGTTTTACATGTGTAGCAGAGGCAATAGGTGCTGATCATAGATCAACAGAGAAAACTAAAACCACAGACCTAAAATGAAGGCTCACTTCAAATGTGATGTGTTTGTCAGAGAGTTTGGCCCCTCACAATGCTTAACATTCTGCATTTACTGTTGCACATTAATGGTCTCATTTCACATTTTCTTTTAAGCATAGTTTTGGAGTCATTCATTTACAATACTGGAATCTCTTATATAAAAATGTATTGAGTTTTAGGCATGCTATGGTGACATGTAAATTAATTCCTGGTAATGTTAAAATGCTGCAAACACGAGTGGCTTACATATCTGATATTTTATGCATGAGTTTAAGAAATATATGAATTTGAATTAATGTTGTGTATTGCTTAAGATTTGTATATAGAATGTAAACTAATCACAGTGGTAATGCATTTGATTTCATTACATTTTGGAACTTTTGATATACATGATTTCCAAAGGATGAGTTTTATTATGTTTGTTGTATCTAACTCTTGTCTCTAGACTGTGCCTTTTCTAAATCCATGATATAAACTCTCAACCTCACTCTGTGACATACAATTAAATTTAACTGTAACTTGTAATGTTTCTGGAAAAATGTTTAAAATGTTTAAAAACTCACATGGGACAAGAATTCAAGGCATATCAATATTGTTTTTAATTTTTTTTAAACATTTGATTACCTCATGGGGTTCACCAATGACTAGTCGCATAACTATCAGAATACTATCTATTTTTCTCTCAATCCCTCTTTTATTGGAAACTTTTGTTTGTGGAATTAATCCATCATAATTGAGTGAATATGGCCTTGGCCAATTTCAGTGGATAATCTCTTTTTGCGTAATGCTACATTCATGCAACTAGGTATACGTTAAGACAACAACCATAGTAAGCAGTGCCAGTGTAAATAAAAATGTACTGGTGCTTATAATTCCAGTTTAAGCAAATGTTGTTTTGAAACTTGACCAAGCTTAATCCTATACTCTTCATAGCTAATTGAAAAAGGCATTACAATTTGGTTTAAGCAAAGTGATACCAGTACACCCTGGGAGGGCAAGTGACTGACCAAATGACAATAAAAAGGGTGATGTTTTTAATGGCATAATACTTTAAATGTTTTGCAATATATAGTTTAGTAGTGTGCACCTGTCACAATTCTCTGAAGCACGGGCACGAGGAAACGTGGAGATTTCACAGAATGAGGGTCTTTAAATAATAATAATAATAATAATAATTCATTACATTTATATAGCACTTTTCTAGACACTCAAAGCGCTTTACATTGTCAGGGGGTATCTCCTCATCCACCACCAGTGTGCAGCATCCACCTGGATGATGCGACGGCAGCCATAGTGCGCCAGAACGCCCACCACACACCAGCTTATTGGTGGCGAGGAGACAGAGTGATGAAGCCAATCAGTAGATAAATGATCCAATAGGGAAAGACAGAGCACAAGGTTGACGTTCACAACAAGTAGACCCGACAAAACCAAACTGAACAGACTGGGGCTTATAAAAACAGTGCAATCAGGGGAACACAGGTGCATGGAATCATAAAGTAATCAAACTAAACAAGAACAGGAAAAAGACTATAAAAGGAAACACAGGAAGAATTACGGAGGCAAAATGAGTCCAAAAGTCTGACATTTCGCCCCTTCCCGGAAGGTGCATCCTTGCACCGTAGATACAACAGAGGGAGGGATGGGTGGGAACTTGGGAGGAGGCTCAAGAGGAGGACAAACACCGGACGGGAGGGGGCCAGCAGACAGAGTCCATGGGGGTGATGAAGGAGAGAAGAGCCAGGGAGGAGACAGGAGGGGCTTGGAGCAGGAGGAGTCAAGCTGGACCCAGGCCACAGCCATTACGATGACCCATGGTGGAGCCGACGGAGGGAGGAGCCATGGAGGAGGATTTGCCACTGACTCCAGGGGGCCGACCAACGGCGGCGGAGGAGCCCGAAGCGGAGACGGAGAGCCAACGAGCCAGGGGGCCAAGGTGGGCTCTCAGGGCTGCCCTCGGGGACCAGAGCCTGATCAGAACACTCCTGGCTGGACTGGGAAACGGGAGCCCCCTCAGGGCAGGACGGGACCAGCGGGGACGAAGGAGAGAGGATGGGGCTTATAAAAACAGTGCAATCAGGGGAACACAGGTGCATGGAATCATAAAGTAATCAAACTAAACAAGAACAGGAAAAAGACTATAAAAGGAAACACAGGAAGAATTACGGAGGCAAAATGAGTCCAAAAGTCTGACATTTCGCCCCTTCCCGGAAGGTGCATCCTTGCACCGTAGATACAACAGAGGGAGGGATGGGTGGGAACTTGGGAGGAGGCTCAAGAGGAGGACGGACACCGGACGGGAGGGGGCCAGCAGACAGAGTCCATGGGGGTGATGAAGGAGAGAAGAGCCAGGGAGGAGACAGGAGGGGCTTGGAGCAGGAGGAGTCAAGCTGGACCCAGGCCACAGCCATTACGATGACCCATGGTGGAGCCGACGGAGGGAGGAGCCATGGAGGAGGATTTGCCACTGACTCCAGGGGGCCGACCAACGGCGGCGGAGGAGCCCGAAGCGGAGACGGAGAGCCAACGAGCCAGGGGGCCAAGGTGGGCTCTCAGGGCTGCCCTCGGGGACCAGAGCCTGATCAGAACACTCCTGGCTGGACTGGGAAACGGGAGCCCCCTCAGGGCAGGACGGGACCAGCGGGGACGAAGGAGAGAGGAGAGGGGGCAAGTCGACCTCCAGATCTGTTTCTCAGTCTATCAAGTCCCCTTCTAAGTCTAGCAGTCCCAGATGTATAATTAGCTCACCCTCAGCCGCAGTGCAGTGGGCGGAGCTACACTCTGCGCTCTCACCGTCCACGGCTTGCTCCCTCGCAGTGGGCACTGTTGCCGGCTCTCGCACCTGGTCTGACGGGTGGGGCTCCACATCCGGGGCGATCCTCCGCTCAGTCACTCGGCATTGCGCTGGCTCGTTGATCGCGGCGGTAATGGGCTCTCCGTCATCGGTGGGCTCGGGCTGATGCTCCGCACCACGGGAAGATGGTGGGCTGGGCTCTGGGTCAGGAGTGGTTCTGGCGAGATCAATCCTCTCGAGGACCATCTTCGGACGACGGTGCTCTTCTCGCGGTGTTCAAGCTTGCATCATAGAATGACGTCCAGGTAGCTGGTGGCGCTAGCTAAATAAGCAAAGCTTGTAAACAAAACACCCTTAGCCAGAGAAGTGTGAAAATGATTAAATGATTCAATATACATTTAAAAAAAAAGTTATTTTCGATGATCTATTTCACTGTGACTATTGTTCCCCCTTTAGTACTGTAGGATATCAGACCGAATCAGACAATGTAAGATTTGATAAAGAACAGTTGAATTCCACAGAGGCCCAAGACACCGGATGTCGTAAATCAGATCCTGGCGCCACAAACCCGAACCAACCAGCAGCTTTGAGTAGCTCACAGCATTTAAACAAAAGAACACTTATTGACAATTCCAAGGAGATTGTCAATTTTGGGGGCAAGTAATTAAGATTAATGGTCAAAAGAGATGCACGGCGTGACCATCACATGGTAACCAGTTATAGCAACCACGGGCTCTTTTGGATTTACTTCCCCCACCTCTGAGACAGACGTTACATCAACACCTCTAAAGTGATCTTATATGTGTCAGACTTTTTTTTAAAGAATAAATGTAAATTTTTTGCTCAGATTGGAGAACAGACAGAACCTCCGCTCTAATTTCTGTCATCGTCTCTCAAAGTTCGGCAGGTACATTAGAGACACTTTTTGGAAAATATTTAATTTGTAGGTGGATTTAAAAAAGAGGTTTAGAGAGGTTACTGATGACCATTTAGGAACATTCACTGCATCTGAAAGGTACTACATTTAATGAAAAACTTACTTTGCGACTGTTAAAAAATACCGTATATTCTTTAATAGTATGGATGTGTGTAGTAAGATGTACATGTACCATGTTGGCTTTGTCACATTATCTATTGAATCAGTTGCATTGCTTTACTGCCATTCACAAATCCTCTATCATGTCTTTATGGGATAGTAAAGTTTACACTGAATTTACATTTCAGGAGGAGGTTGTAGATCATTTGTATTCTTCTCACAGACTGTTTTTCAAATACTATGAATTCAGACATACTACTTTTTTCACATACTATATAGTAGGAGGTATATTCAGATGCAGAGATATTCCCACCTCAGTATCAACATTAGTGATCATAGACACAAGGAACCGCCATAGTCAGATTTGAAGCTGAAGCACAGTTGTGTAAACAGAGTTGAACTATTGAGCTTCACAAGGCCAGTATACTGTAAGTATGTTTAAAATGAACCAAGTGGTCCAAAAAAGACACTTTACCTTAAATATGATGTGATATTTATCATTAAAGGCTCAGTTCACTTTGCTTCATCATGCTGTCAGGTTCTTTGATAAGTGCAACTAAACTTCAGAGAAATAAAAGAGAGTGACCGGATCTGTTACCTAGGCCTGACTCCTGAGTTATTCATTGTCCTGTACTTTGCCTAAGGGACTGGGCAGGCCTGCTCTCTCATGGGTGAAATGTGTGATGCACATGGACCTGGACCTGCTAGACTATATGACACAAAGCACAGAGTCCACAAACAGGTCTGAGAGGGTCAAGGGGAAGATGGAAGCCTAAGGTTTCAGACAACTCCCCATCATATGATTTATTAAGGCTTTTAAACAAAGTCCATGTCAACTCCATTCTTTCTGTAAAGCTATATAGATGCATGAACTGAAACAGAGGATGAAGTCTAGTTGTACTGTATATGGCCATTGTGATATAAAACTTTATCACTTTCATTTCGATACATTCTACATTCTGTTGCACTCCATATCACATCATATCAATTCATATATTATCATATATCATATGTGTGTGTATATATATATATATATATATATATATATATATATATATATATATACACTGAACAAAATTATAAACG